TGATGTCACCCTTGCTGCGCAAGGGGAACACCGTGGTGTAACGCGAGTAGTCGTCAACCACCAACAGGAAGTAACGCTCGTGACCCTGGCCACGGACGCGGGCGGGGCCCCACACGTCCATGTGAAGAGTCTGCAGGGGAGCCTCTGTCGGAGGAAACTCGGAGGAGTGAGGGGCGGCGCGCTGCCGCTTCTCGACGCAGGGAACGCAGGTAGGGGCAGGCCCCGGAGGGAGGGGAGGGAGGGACCGGGGGAGACCAGAGACAAGGACACGGGAGGCCATGCCTCGGAGACGAGGCAGGGAGGGGTGACCAAGGCGGTGGTGCCAAAGGAGAGTCTGGTGGGACAGGAGACGACACGAGCAGGGAGCAGACTCAGGACCAGACCTGGACGCTGCAACAAACACCTGACTCTACGCAGCCACCTGACCAGACTCAGTAACCGGAGGAGACTCAGTAGTCAGTGTGTACAGGGTCGACCCCGGCCGACGGGTAAACGTGGCCAAGTGTCGGCTCGTCCGAGCACACGTACAGTGGGTCACCCGCTGACTCGTAGGAGTGAATTGGTCAACCCACCCATCCTGTAGATCAGTACCACTCACCAAGTTCGTAGAGAACGAGGGGAGGTAGAGACCTGACAGGGTGCCAGAGGGGGCCGCCGGAAACGGAAAGACAATGGAGAAGCGAGCAAGGACAGGACCCCCAGAGGGGTCCGCCAGGGAGACCGCAACCGGCCGACTAAGCGGCGTAAGCGTGGTGCGGTCTCGAAAGAAGGAGCGGGAAGCACCCGAGTCAAGGGTGAAGGTGTGTAAGGCCTGAGCTGACGTGGTACCTGAGAGAGCAGACTCACCAGCACCTGGGGCAGCAGACGCACTAGCACCTAGAGCAGCAGCCTCACCAGCACCTAGAGCAGCAGCCTCAATGCCCGGGTCAGGCGGAACACACAGGTAACAGTCACCCTCATCACTAGTAGACACAGCATACATGGCAGCAAGAATAGCATCATAGTCAAGATCAAAGATAGCAGCCCCCGCCCTAGACAGCTCTCCCCAGCGAGGGATCTCAGTGGCGTCAGGGAACTGGTGACGCCAAGCGTCCGACAGGCGGCCGAAGCAGCGCTGGGTGGAGTGCGAGCCCCCGCACTGCTCACCAGCGCGGTCGCCGGTACGGAGGACGTAGGTACAGGGACCAGTACCCCCACCTCGCTGACGCCCAGCGTACCACTCACGAAGCTGCTGGGGGGACGGGGTCTCACGAGTGCGCTGCTGCTGCTGGCGCTGACCACCACCTAAGCCGCCCCGCTGCGCAGAGCCACCCCGACTAGCTCCACCTCCTCCGCCGCCACCTCCGCCACCGCCGCCACCGCCTCCTCCTCCGCTCCCACCGCCACCGCCGCCGCCGCCTCCGCCGCCACCGCCGCCACCGAAGCCCCCACCCCCGCCACCACTCCCACCACCACCCCCACTCCCTCCGCCTCCTCCACCTCCACCTCCACCGCCCCCGCCAGCCCCTCCAGCGCCCTTGCCCCCCTTGCCCTTGCCGGTGCGGCGTCGCCCGCTAGGGGCAGACGCAACGCCGACCGACTCGGTGCCAACGAAGTCGACGGCAGCAGCAGAGGCAACAGAGGGCAAAAGGGGGGAGGGGGAGCACCCCTCAAAGACAGGGGCACGCGGGTCACCTCGAGAGGCTCCTACAGCGACGATACTCTTCTCAGCTGCCAGGAGGCGCTCCTCGAGGAGGTCAACGGTGAGTGTGGTGGGGCAAACAGAGAGGAAGTGGTCCCTGACCGAGCGAAGGGAGTCAGGGAGCCGGGTGACTATGTAGTAGAGGGTGATGTACATGGGGGGGGGGTTCTTGGCGCAGAACTCAGCAGGAAGCGCAGCGCGGTAGCGGGTGTCACTGGTGCGAAGGTGCGTAACGAGGTCAGCGACAGTGGGAAAGGCGGCGAGGTCAGGAAACAGGTACGGCAGCATGAGGCGGCTAAGGGCAGCAGTGGCAGGGGAAGAGTAGCGCGCAACTACAGCATCGTACAAGGTCTTAGCACTCTTGTACTGACTAAAGTGCGCACGCTCAGCGGTCGGTAAGTGGCGACGCACAGCAAGACGGGCAGCAGCATAGCGTGTGGCCCACTGTGAGCGAACAGTGCTGTCAGCATCAGTAGGCGGGGCAGGAGAGGCACCAGAGGTGAGATCGAACAGGGAGAGTCCGTCTGCCCTATCGCACTGTAGGAAGAGCTGTAGGTCATCGACCCAGACCTCGAAGTCAACAGCACGACCCTCAGCATCAAAGGTAAGGACACTGGGGGTAGCCATGACAGCAGTGGTCTAGCAGGGAGTGCTCTCACCAGTCCGGGTGGGTAGGGCCGGGGCGCGCCGGTAGGAACAGGGCTGCAACCGCGGTGGCAGCGGCTCGGCAGTGGCTCGGTAGTGGCGGCTCGACGGCGGCCTCAGCGGCTCGGCGGCTCGGCTGCAGGCGGCTCGGCGGCTCGGCGGTTCAGCGGCTCGGCGGCTCGGCGGTTCGGCGGCTCGACGGCTCGGCGGTTCGGCTGCTTGGCGGCTCAGCGGCTCGGCGGTGAAGGGGCCGGGGAGGGGCCGAAAGGGGCGGCTACGGGGCCGCACTAGGGCGGTGACGGGGCCGCGAGAGGGCGGCGACGAGGCCGCAAGAGGGCGGCACTGGGGCCGCGAGAGGGCGGCGATGCGACCGCGAGAGGGCGGCACTGGGGCCGCGAGAGGGCGGCGACGAGGCCGCGAGGAGCGGCTGCAGGGCCGCGACGGGCGGCGACGCGGCCGCTAAGGGCGGCGGCGGGGCCGCGAACGGCGGCGACGGGGCCGCGAGAGGGCGGCGACGGGGCCGTGGAGGTGGGGCCGCAAGGGGCCGCTGAGGGCGGCGCGACGGGCCGCTCAGGGCGGTGCGACGGGCCGCTAGGGGGCGGCGACGGGGCCGCGAGGGGCCGTGAGAGGGGGGGCCGCTAAGGGCGGCGCGACGGGTCGCTAAGGGGAGGGCGGCACACAGGGCGCGCCTCGGTCAGGGGCGACTCGATCTCAGGGCAGGAAAAAAAAAATCGATTTTCAGTGGTGGGCCCTAGGAAAAGTTCCCACTAGGGAACCTGCTCTATACCATGTCAGAATCCCAACCACTAGACCATTGGGATAAAAGGGCTTGTTTGTGTAGCGGGTAAGTGCGCCCATAACCCCCCAGGCCAACGTGCCTGTAACCCTTCCCTAGGATCAATCGGGGATCACCAGTGGACCTCTGACACCCCCCCGCACTAGGATGCCCGAGGTGCACACACCGGGATTCGAACCCGAGACCTTCGCTCTGATACCATGTGAGAAATGAGGAATGAAATGCACTAGGAAACAGGTGGGTACAAGTAGGAAAACCTAAAAGTGTCGTACCCCATATTGTCTACCCCACTACAGCCTACACAGACTATAGCATATGAGTTTGACACACGACGCCATATTCGTAGTAGTGGATAAGTTTTCTCGAGCATCGCACTTCATCCCCACGCACGGCAAGGTCATAACAGAGGAAGCCACGACGCTGTTCGTAGATAACGTAGTCCGACTGCACGGGGTTCCAGATTCCATCATCTCAGACCGCGACCCTCGTTTCACTTCGAAGTTCTGGAAGCAGCTTTTCGCACTGTTCGGGACTCGCTTAGCCATGTCGTCTGCGTACCATCCAGAGACGGACGGACAGACCGAGCGTGTGAACCAGACCTTGGAGCAGATTCTTCGCAGCATCACGATGCACGACGCAGCCGCATGGGACAAGAAGCTGAGCATGGCCGAGTTCGCCTACAACAACACGCACCACTCGTCCACAGGCATGTCACTGTTTTTCGCACTGTAGGGTCAGCACCCCAACGTCCCCATTCGTGTCGATCTCACACCCACAGTCCCTCGTGCGGACAACTTCCACCAGCATCGCACATTCATCCATGATCATGTGAGGAAGCACCTTGAGCTCGCAAATGCACGCATGGCACGCACCACCAACCGCAGTCGTCGTGAGGTGTCGTTCGCAGTCGGCGACCGTGTTCTCTTGGATAGCCGCAACCTCCGACTGCCACAGGACAGCAAGCTTCGTCCACGTTTCATTGGTCCATTTGTCATTGAGCGCGCACTTGGTCCAGTCGCATACCGCCTTCGCCTTCCCACTCATTTCCGCATGCACCCGTCATTCCACGTGTCGCTTCTTCGTCCTTACACCGATCCCAATGCCACCTTCTCGGGCCGTGACCGCACTCCACTGCCGGTAGCTGTTGACACCGACGAGCCCGACTACCAGATCCAGCGCATCCTCAGGCACCGTCGCCGTCTCCAGGGGGGTGTCCCTTTCATCGACTTCTTGGTTCGTTGGCGTGGTTACGACGCAGCAGACGACAGCTGGGTTCCTTCGTCCTCGCTGTCTCCCGACAACGCTTGCCTCCAAGCGTACCTTCAGTCTGCAGGCGCCGCGGACGTCGCCTCCTTGGGAGGGGGGTAGTGTTAAGGGGGGATTTACTGTTCCTTTTGAACAGTATTTTCCCAACCTATCCAACTCATCCTCATCTTATCTTTCTAGATTTCCTAGTGCCACGTGGCACTCTACTTTCTTTGCCTCACATTTCCTAGTCCCACAGAGTACTTTCCGACATTCGATCTTGCATGCTATATCGTCCTTGCTTGTATCCACCAATATCAACCAATTCTCATTCAACTCTTCTTCAATTACTCAGTAACTTCTTCGCCTATTTCGCTAATAGTTCTTTCGCCAAAGTCTTCCGCCGCGTTTCATCCTCGACTTAGTCGACCCCGCTAATTCTTTAGCGGACTTAGGCCGTCGGGCCTAACACTTACATCTAGCTTTTTCTTTCGTCCCCAATTCTTGCGCGAGATTTTTCTGGATGACATTCTCGTAGTCGCTATAAGTAGGGCTCGTTCTCTCGTAGGACCACAGATACTTCACTTGATCTTAGGGGGACGTCGCTTGGCGGTGCGCCTGCTGGTGGGGGGCATGGACATCGCGACCGGAACGGAGCAGTCGTCGGACGGACGGGAGGTGTCCGAGCGGCGTGCGCGGCGAGTGCACAAGAGCGCGTCGGAGGCCAACATCAGGGGAGCCGGGTTGCGGGGCGGGTGCGCGTTGGCGGGGTCCATGGGGATGTTGACGGGCGCGGGCAGCGGCAAGTGGGTGAACGGCGGGTCCATGGGGGCGATGGAGGCGCAGCTGCGCGCCGAGCAGGAGGAGCTGGCGTACCTGCGCATGGAGGTGGAGCGCATCGAGCGCAGCGGCGTCATCGACATCGTCAACGATGACGGCGTCGGCGGCGGCGGCGGCGGAGGCGGCGGCGGCTTCCCGAAACACCTGAGCTGGAACTACCGCGGGCTCGACATCACCCCCAAGGGCAGCAGTCGCGCGCAGGCCGGCGCAGATAGGGATGGGGGGGTAGGGGCGGAGTCGGTGCTGGCGTCGTGGGCGCGGGAGCGGCGTGAGTTGGAGGGGCAGGTGGGCGCAGTGAAGGCGGAGCTGAAGCGCAAGGAGAGAGCGCTCAAGGCGGCGGGCAAGGGCAAGGCGGCGGCGGGCAGGGAGGTTGACGCGGTGTGGGCGCAGGTGAGCGCGGTGGAGGCGCAGCTGCACGACGTGCAGGGCGACAAGTGCGCGCTCGAGAAGGAGATCCAGGGGCTGCGCGCGCTGCTGCACGTGTCGAGTGCGCGCGACTCAGGGGAGTCAGCGGGCGCGCGGGGCGCGGACACGGAGATGGCGGGCATGCTGAAGATGGTGGGCGACTTCTCCCGGCGACTCGCCCTCGCTGACGACGCCGTGCGACGCGCCGAGGCCAAAAACGACCAACTGTCGGGTATGCCATGCCATGTGCGGGTTAGATGGGATGGAAGTGAAGCGGGGAAGTGGAGCGTGAAGAGGGTGAGGGTGTTCCCCGCCTTGACTTGCTGCAGCCCATCCCCGCCTTGACTTGCTGCAGCCCATCCCCGCCTTGACTTGCTGCAGCCCATCCCCGCCTTGACTTGCTGCAGCCCATCCCCGCCTTGACTTGCTGCAGCCCATCCCCGCCTTGACTTGCTGCAGCCCATCCCCGCCTTGACTTGCTGCAGCCCATCCCCGCCTTGACTTGCTGCAGCCCATCCCCGCCTTGACTTGCTGCAGCCCATCCCCGCCTTGACTTGCTGCAGCCCATCCCCGCCTTGACTTGCTGCAGCCCATCCCCGCCTTGACTTGCTGCAGCCCATCCCCGCCTTGACTTGCTGCAGCCCATCCCCGCCTTGACTTGCTGCAGCCCATCCATCCCCGCCTTGACTTGCTGCAGCCCATCCCCGCCTTGACTTGCTGCAGCCCATCCATCCCCGCCTTGACTTGCTGCAGCCCATCCATCCCCGCCTTGACTTGCTGCAGCCCATCCATCCCCGCCTTGACTTGCTGCAGCCCATCCATCCCCGCCTTGACTTGCTGCAGCCCATCCATCCCCGCCTTGACTTGCTGCAGCCCATCCCCGCCTTGACTTGCTGCAGCCCATCCCCGCCTTGACTTGCTGCAGCCCATCCCCGCCTTGACTTGCTGCAGCCCATCCCCGCCTTGACTTGCTGCAGCCCATCCCCGCCTTGACTTGCTGCAGCCCATCCCCGCCTTGACTTGCTGCAGCCCATCCCCGCCTTGACTTGCTGCAGCCCATCCCCGCCTTGACTTGCTGCAGCCCATCCCCGCCTTGACTTGCTGCAGCCCATCCCCGCCTTGACTTGCTGCAGCCCATCCCCGCCTTGACTTGCTGCAGCCCCCCCCTCCTGTGACAAACAGACTTCTGAGACGTCTCAAAAGACTCCAGTGACAGGCAGCATCACAACACTGGTCTATCTTGTGCTGGTGGATGGTGTATCAACTGTTGCTCCGCCCAATGAGTGCTCCGCCGAATGCGCACAGTACTGGTCGCTGCACCGGGCCGCCATCCAACCTTTCCACAGCCTTGGATTGGATGTACATAATGTCACATGGTTCTTCTAGACGCAAAAGAACAATCTGGTGTATGCACAGGCGCCTTTTGTATGAGCGACGCCTGGCGCGCAGAGTTTGGCGACGCGGCTGAGCTCCCGCACTGGCTAGAGCTGGTTAGGCAGGGTGTGGAAATCTTTGCTCTAGACTATGTCGCTATCCTCACTGCCATGTAAGCTTTGACTATTGGTACTGAGGGTGATTGTTACATGTGTGTGCCGCTCGACCCTGCTATATAGGCTGCTGCTCAAGGTGCTGGTGAGTCTGCTCTCTCTGGTACTGCGCCTACTGAGGCCTTGCACACCTTCACGCTTGACTCAGGTGCTTCCCGTTGCTTCTTTCGCGACAGCACCACAGTCACACCACTCGCAGCACCACTTGCAGTCTCTCTGGCTGACCCCTTTGGGGGACCGGTTCTTGCATGTTCTTCCATTGTTCTCCTGTGTCCGGCGGTTCCGTCTGGCTCACTGTCAGATCTTCACCTCCCCTCGTTCTCTACGAACTTGGTGAGTAATGCCGTCCTTCAAGATGCTTGGGTTGATACCTTTACCCTTGGAAGACAGCGTGTGGTGATCTGCACGTGTGCACGGACGGGCCATCACATGGCCACGTTCATCCGTCGACCTGGGTCGAGCCTGTACACACTGACTACTTAGCCTCCTCAGGTAGCTACGTCTGCGTCCGCGTCAGGTCAGCTGGCAGCCCCCTGTTCGTGTCACCTCTTGTCACACTGGACTCTCCTTTGGTACCACCACCTAGGTCACCCCTCCCTATCACGCCTCCATTGCATGCACTCCCACCTCCTTGTCTCTGGTCTTCCCAGGTCTCTGCCTCCCCTCCCACCCTCGCCTGCCCCTCCCTGCCTTCCCTGTGTCGAGGGGCGGCAGCGCGCCGCTCCTCACTCCTCCTCGTTTCCCCCGACGACTGCTCCCCTGCAGACTCTCCATATTGACGTGTGGGGCCCAACCCGCGTCCAGGGACAGGGTCGCGAGCGATACTTTCTGCTGGTTGTTGACGACTACTCGCGTTATACCACGGTCTTCCCCTTGCGCAGCAAGGGGGAGGTCCCTCATGTTTTGATCCCTTAGATCCGCGCTGTCCGTCTCCAGCTCCGCGAGCGGTTCGACACAGACCTTCCTGTCCTGCATCTACACTCTGACCGAGGTGGTGAGTTCTCCTCTGACCTCTTACGGTCGTGGAAGGGCATCCTCCAGTCGTTCATGCTTCCGGCCTCTCCGCAGCAGAATGGGGTTGCTGAGCACCGCATTGGCTTAGTCATGGAGGTCTAGGGCTGTCGTGCCTTTTCCCGCGATACCTCCGCGGACAAGCTCTCCTCCCGCGCCATTCCCTGTGTCTTCCTTGGCTTTCCCCCTAATGCGCCTGGCTGGCAGTTTTACCACCCCACCTCGCGACGTGTCCTGCCCTCTAAGGACGTCACGTTTGACGAGTCGGTTCCCTTTTACCGTCTCTTCCCCTACCGCACTGCCCCTCTCCCCCCCCCCGCCCACTCTTCCTCACTCCAGGTCCCCCTCCAATAGACCCCCTCCCCCCTCAGGGTCCTGCTCCTTCAGGTGAGTCTCAGGTAGACCCACTCCACTTGGTTGAGCCTGTCAAGGTCACTGGTGACTCTGGTGCTGCTCGGGGTGCTGCGTCTGGGGGTGCTGAGCCTGCGGTTGCGGAGCCTGAGCGTGCGGACCCTGGAGGTGCTGAGACTGCGAGTGCGGAGCCCGGGGGTGCTGAGCCTGAGCGTGCGGAGCCTGGGGGTGCTGAGACTGCGGGTTTGGAGCCTGGGGGTGCTGTGTCTGAGCGTGCGGAGCCTGGGGGGCTGAGCCTGAGCGTGCGGAGCCTAGGGGTGCTGAGTCTAGGGGTGTTGAGCCTAGGGGTACTGCGTCTACACTACGTGAGCCTCTCTCATCACATCAGCTGCGCGAGTGGTACACTCGGCGCACACACCTTCGGAGTGGCGCTGCAGGAGCTGGAGGGCCTGGAGCTGCTAGTCCTGGAGGTACTGCTAGTACTGGAGGTACTAGGGGTGCTGGAGCTACTAGTCCTGGAGGTCCCACTGGTACCTCGCCCCAGCGGTCTAGCCGACGGGAGCCTCTCTCACCACAGCAGCTGCGCGAGTGGTACGCTTGGCGCACCCGCCTTCGGAGTTATGCTGCTGGAGCTGAAGGCCCTGCCGTTAGAGGCGCTACCGCTGGAGGCATTGGTGTTGGAGGTGCTGGTGGTGCTGGTACTGCTGGTCCTGGGGGTGCTCGTGCTGGAAGCGCTGGAGCTACCGGAGCTGGAGGAGCTGCTGCTGCTCGAGGTGGTGGAGCTGCTGATCCCGGAGGTGCTCGTACTAGATGTACTGGAGCTGCTGGAGCTGGTGGTTTTGCTGCTGCTGGAGGTGCTGGAGCTGCTAGTCCTGGAGGTGCTCGTAATGGAGGTACTGGAACTGCCGGAGCTGGTGGTGCTGCTGCAACTGGAGGTGCTGGAGCTGCTGGTCCTGGAGGTGCTCGTGCTGGAGGTATTGGAGCTGCTGGGGCTGGTGGTGTTGCTGCTGCTGGAGGTACTGGAGGTGCTGGAGGTGCTGGAGCTGCTGGAGCCGGTGGTGCTGCAGGTGCTGGAGCTAGAGACCCTGGCGCTGGGGGTGCTGGAGCTGGAGACCCTGGAGCTGGAGGTGCTGGCGCTGGGGGTTCTGGAGCTGTCGGTACTGGCGCTGGAGGCGCTGTGCGGCCGCGACCGTACTTCGTTCCACTGCTTTGCCAGATTCTTGGTCTTCTATCTTCTACTAACCTTACTCCGCCTCTACTGTGTCTACCACCAGACCAGTCGCAGCCACAGTTACAACCAGCCTCCCCACTACCTGCTCCTTCTTCTTACACTGAGCCGACAGACACTCTTACAGAGCGTCGTGAGCCTGCGTTTCGCCCTGCCTCGCCTATTCGCGCTGGTCGCACTGGTCGTCGTGCTCTGCGTCCGCGTCCTCCTCCTATCTCTGGCACTCACAGTATGACACTTCGTCCTTCCTTTCTTCCATTGCAAGTTCCCCTGCCGTCTCCTCCTGCGTCCTCTCTTCCTGATGGTTGAGACCTCGAGTCTGACTTAGTTCTTGATGGGAGAGCGGCCTAGTTCTCCTCCATTTCTGTACGTAAACAACAAGGCCATGATTGCCTTGTATTAGGAGCACAGATTGGTCTTGCGACTCCTTTTCCCCCACTTTGCCTATGGGGGTGTGTCAAACCGATATATTCTGTGTTGTGTAGGCTGTAGTGGGGTAGCCTATATGGGGTACAACCTAATTAGGGTTAGTACTTGTATCACATTCTTATTCAATACAATCATTCCTGCTCACTACCGTATTACCCCGGATATAGGCGCATATGCGCTCATTTTTTTTAGGGGGGGCGCTTGTAATTGAGTAACGACCATAAGCGCCGGCGCTTATATAATGACAAATACGAAATTATATATTTATAGCACCAAATTGTTTATTTTCTTCTTGCCATTTCAACCGAGACGAAATGTTTTAGCGTCACAAAGCAAAATCTCGCGCAAGCGATATTCTGGGTGCACACACAGGCAAAGACACGTCATGCTAGCACATCCTGACTGGACGCGCAGCCAGTCAGGTCTTCGCGAGTCAAACGAAGCGAAATTGAAATGTGACTCGCTGCAAAAATGAATCTCGTTACCGTTTTAAGCAAGAATTTAAATTAAAATTACACGCGCGCTTATAATTGTCAGATTTATATGACAGAGCTACTGTAGGCTATAGTGGGGTAGCACATATGGGGTACAGTTTTCTAGGGTTTGTATTTGTACCCAACTTTCCCTTAGTCATTTTCATTCCTCGTTTCTTCTCATGGTATCGAGCAGGTTCCCTAGTGGGAACGATTCCTAGGGCCCACCACCACGAAATTTTTTTTCCTGCCCGGAGCGCGCTTCGCTCAGGCCCGAGTCGCGCCCTGTGTGCTCTCCCTACCGTCGCGCCCTCGCTAGGCCCCTCACGGCCCCGTCGTGTCGCCCTTAGCGGCCCCC